CAGCTTCCCAAGGGCTTCTTTGCCCTACAGGGTCTGCACCAGGGCCCTTTCTGGGCGGTGAGTCTGCTGGTGGCCACCCCTCCCTAGTGAAACCTGCTGTGAAGTCAGCTCCAGCCTCGCTGCCCAGCCAGACTGGGCCAGGTCAGACGAGCTCCCAAGAGGCCTCGTCCCAGGCCGGGGGTGGGAGAGCTGGCTCTGGGAGAGGAGACTGGGGATGTGGTTAAGGACTGTCGGGAGGGCCGGTGAGAGCCACCACGCCAACACAGGCACGGCCCAAGGCCAGAGGGTCGCCACCGCACCAGGAGCTCCACCTCAAGGTCTGGCCGAGGCCCAGGACAAAGCCCTGCCTCCGCCCCAGTCCAGGCCAGGAGCCGTTGGGACCAGGCAATCTCATCATACCGGTTACGCATTAAAACCTGCTGCCACCTTCTGCACCTGCTGCCTCTGGAGGCGGGCAGGCAGGAGGCCTGGCGCCAGGCCAGCTTCCCAGGAGCCATTGGAGCAAAAGGAGGTCAGACCCAGGTGAGGCGTGGCACCCCCGCCTTCTCTGTCCGTGCTGAGGCCCCGTCCGGGACCAGGGCTGACAGCATTTGCCTTCGGGCCACAGAACCTCGCCAGGTCCCAGCCACCGCAGCCAGGACCTGATGCCAGCAGCAGGCCTTCACTGGGTGAATCGGGCTGGGCCTGGGGCTAGAGTTCCTTCAAAACCAGCCCTCAGGCGTCCTGAGGTTCAGCCAGGTCCGGGATTTTCCTCAGAAAGGCACGGTGACCTCCTCTGAGTCCTAAAGTGCCTTTGGGATTCCAGCATCTGCTCAGAGCTCACGTCCCACACAGGGGCCTCAGTTCCCTCAGGACTTGACTGTGATTTCCCTCAGGACTGGGCTCCCTAGTCTCAGGCTTAGGGCTCGAGTCCCTCCAGGACTGGGACCCTGGTGACCTCAGGGCTGGGCCCGGCTCCTGAGCCACTGGCTCCTCAGTGCCCGGACCTCCTGCCCATACCACTCGTGCAGCTGGAGGAAGGAGGCTGAGTCGAGAGGCCCGTTGGGCGCCGAGGCCCGCCGGCGGGGTGGCAGTGGGGGGCGCTCAGGGCCAG